GCTGTTCTCCTATTTTTGGTTGTCCCTAAACCTCCTCTCCTTCGTCCGCGTCTCTTACTTAAATGTTGGTGGGGGAATGGAAGCAAACAATCGAACACCTACAGTGCATCCGGCGACGAGATTTCATAAAGATCCTTAGAGAGAGGAAAAAGGGGCTCAGTGGTGAGTTTAGAGACGTCGGATTTGTTCTATTGGAGCTTTTGTTTCGAAGTCTACATTGAGAATTTAGGTCTCGTGTTTGTTATTATTCTGTGATTAGACGTTTTTTTTAATCGAAGCGTTTTAGCACTAAGGGTTTGATGCTGCTAACTTTGCCGGGGTTAGAAGAAGGTCGTCGGCGCCTTCTGTTGTTTAATTACGTTCGAATTGGGTTTTGAGCAGCGTTCTAACCCTATTTGGTCTACATTCGCCTTCCTGGGATTGAAAAATGTCATTGATACTTCTGCTGTCTTATTGCATTCTGATATTGTTTTCTCTTGGGCTTATGGTTGATCATGTCAAATTTGCATACCAGCTTCGTCGATTTCATTGTGCCATCAAGTAAAGATAATTGTCTGTCTTTGGTTGGTGGGCTCAACAATGAATGTACACCCAATGTGCATGGTCCATCATGGTGGTGGTATGTGCTTGCGATCCAAGGATAGTTCACCATACCTTACGCTAATTCAATAGGCTAACTGGGTCAAGTTCATTGCTTCTAAAATGTTTTAAGTCCAAATTAATAGTAGTAGATTCATATAATAATATAAGTTAACTCAGTTTTCTTCTGTATGTCATAGTCTAAGGGATGTTGATAGATTAACAATCATGTAAATTAGGATAAATATCTATTAGTTCTATGTTCTAAACGACCCCCGCTTCCTTACGTGAAATCCTCCACAGTTTTTCTGCCTGTTTTAGTTGGTATTTTTTGATCTGATTATAATCTATTCTGGATATAGATACTTCTGTTCTACTTTTCGCATGCAATGGAAGGTGGTGTTCACAAAGCAGATAAAACTGAATTTAAGGAATGCTTTAATTTGACATGGAAGCAGCCTTATATCCTTCGTCTGGCATTTTCTGCTGGCATTGGTGGTCTGCTTTTTGGTTATGATACAGGTATCAACCATCTTCTGTCTATATCGTTATAACTATAGCTCAAGCATTATATACAAAAGATTGTCTTCTGAATTTATGTCAGACCCCTAAAACTTCTTTGTTTTGTAGCTGAACTTTAATTATTACCTGTACATTGCAAAGCTTAATGAATGTGGCATGATCTTTTGGATTAATGGTAAAGCATTGGTGAGGGAATTAGTAAGAAATAAGTGGCAAAGACTTCAATTGACTTTAGAATGGTACCTAGATGGAAAAATAGAGCCCAACGCATCTTGTTAACTAGGTCCATAGTATGTGGTACTCCTTTTCCCTTGTAAAATTATTGTTCCCAAGCAGTCATCTGGTTGTTCATTGTATCTTTCTTTATGTGGTTTTACTATTCCTTTGTCAAGCCATTCCTATCTGCTCATGCATGTATATTATAATGGCTGCTAGAGAGATAGATTGACCACCCAAATAGTCTCCAAGAACTGGTTGTGATCATATCTTTTTCAATATACATCACATTACTAAGGTTAGTGATAATGCAAGATTATGTTTTAAGCCTCTTTATCTTTATTTGGGCTTTATTTGAACATGATAACTCTGGCATCCCACTTTATTATACAGTTCAGAACAAATGAGTGGAAAGCTAAACATCTATTTTAGACCAATATCAGCATTGTATCTGCTTTAACAACACTTGGAATGGAAAAAAAAACTAGTCAGATTAACAATAAGAGGTCCAAACAATATAAATTGAGGTTTGATGGATGGACTCAAACTTCATGACACTGCCACAACAGTTAGAGAAGAGGACGAGTTATCACAAAGTAAAGAGGGAGAAAATATTAGACACAATATATTGATTGAGATAATAAATTAAAAAGAACTATCTGACCAGAAATATTGTCAAACTAGCTAATTTTACATCATCACAAGTTGTTATCTACGAGACTATGACCAAGCAACTCAACCCACTTATTTATAACTTCCAACTTTTCTTTGATCGAACTCCACTTAGCACTCTTCATAAATATAAGAGAGGACAAATAACCTCATATGAATTCCTAGGTGACCATATGTTTGTTTGAGTCTTCTGGACTTTTGATCTAGAACTGTAATTTGGTAAGACTAACGTGTATTAACACTAATCTAAAACAAAAATCCAGGCTATTGAACTTTCAGTCCATAGTAACTCAAATAATACTGAACCCATAACAAAATAGGGATTTTGTTTGCAATTGATTTTACTTATCTATAGTTATTAATATTTGTCGGATGAGTTAAACACCTCGTAGTGAATATATCATCATAACACATATAGCTTCTTAATGAACTACAGTATTTTATTTTAAAATTTTTCATTCGTTTCTTTTTATTATTCAATATTCTATAACTGTGTTGATTGTAACTCATGATTTAATAAAATTAATGAACTCGTTAATTGTTTAGGTGTTATCTCCGGAGCACTTCTTTACATCAGAGATGACTTCAAATCAGTTGACAGGAGCACTGTGCTGCAGGTGCAGTTCATTACATTCATTAATATATGTTATTTGCTTGTGCACAACAATCCACCCCTCTAAGATTTGGTGTAACCTTGCGTGAACAGGAAACCATTGTGAGCATGGCTGTAGCTGGAGCTATAATAGGAGCTGGATTCGGTGGATGGTTGAATGACAGATTTGGAAGAAGACCTTCGATTATATTGGCTGATTTGTTGTTCTTCGTTGGTGCTATAGTAATGGCTGCTGCACCAATTCCTGGAATTTTAATTCTTGGGAGGATCTTTGTGGGATTTGGAGTTGGGATGGCTTCTATGACCTCTCCACTGTACATTTCTGAGGCTTCTCCTGCAAGAATTAGAGGTGCTCTTGTTAGCACTAACGGGCTACTGATAACAGGAGGACAATTTTTGTCTTACCTTATAAATCTGGCATTCACCAAGGTACCATGTCAAGTCCTTTTCTATCATCGATAGTGGTTACCTACTAAATTGACTGTGTACCAGTAAAAATGACGTTTACGACATTTGGTAGGCACCTGGTACTTGGCGATGGATGCTCGGGGTTGCAGCAGTTCCAGCACTTGTTCAATTTTTGTTAATGTTGTCCCTTCCTGAGTCACCTAGATGGCTGTATAGAAAGGTTAACATCTAAGCCTTTTCATATC